TCTTTTTTTAAGAGAGAGAGAGTGTGTGTATGCCTGTGAGTAGGGGAGGGGCAGAGCCAGAGAGGGAGCAAGAGAATCCCAAGCAGGCTCCACACCCAGCACAGCGGAGCCCGACACAGGGCTCAATCCCACAAACCCAAGATCACAACCTGAGCCAAAATCAAGATTTGGATGCTCAACTGAGCCAACCAGCACCCCTACTTCCTATTTTTTAAAATGGATTCAGCTTTTTAATTCATTTGAAAGGAAACTATATGTGGAAAATACCATCCATCAGAAAGTAATCTTAAAAAAAAAATAAATGCATCAGTCCTTTTCTTACTGCTTTAAAAAAAAAAACAAAAACAGTAAGGTTGCCCTGAGGGACACTTAACTCTTTTTAAGATTTTATTTATTTATTTGAGAGAGAGTGAGCAAGCGAGAGAGAGCATGAGTGGGAGAAGGCGCAGAGGGAGAGGGAGAAGCAAGCTCCCCACTGAGCAGGGAGCCTGATGCTGGCTGGTCATGTAAAATGTACAATGAAGTTAGGATGGATTCTGTTACAATTATCCTCATTAAATACATACTGCTTGCAGGTAAAGACAGATAAGTAGATAAATGGGTAGGTAGATAGATAAATAGGAAGAATTTTTTTTTTTAAGGCAGAATTCAATTGATGAACAGAAGTGTTCTTGGATATAAGCCTGCTCTCTCTGTTAAAAAAAATAAAATCAGCAAGTGTTCCAGGGATGTTAAAGCTAAATTAGCACTGAACTGAGACTTTCTCCTCCACAGACTTAGAAGGATTAAAAGAGAGGGGCGCCTGGTTGGCTCAGCTGGTTAAGCGTCGGCCTTCAGCTCGGGTCATGATCCCAGGGTCCCGGGATCGAGTCCTGTGTCTGGCTCCCTGCTTAGCGGGGAGTCCGCTTCTCCCTCTCCCTCTGGCCCTCTCCCTGACCTCTGCTTTTGTTCTCTCTCTCCTCTCAAATAAATAAATAAAATCTTAAAAAAAAAGAAATATTTCTTTTCCATAACCAAATGAAGAGCACAAGGGAAGTGAAATGTGGTAATTGTCACTTGGCCTCAATGTGAGGCAATAGGGCATGGTGGGGACTGGGGCAGATGGGAGAGAGAGGCCCTCCCTATAATCGGCAGCCCCTCTAAGCTCCAGCCAATGGTTGCTACCAGGTCTGATGCTATTGGAGCCCCCAATTTTTTTAAGGAAAACCGGACATTCAAAAATTCAGATTTTTTTTCATGTGACCTATTTTGATTGTTCAAATACTGGCTCAAATTGCTTTTCTAAATGCTGTGCAGGTGAAGCAAGACATTTGCAGGACAAACATGGCCCAGGGGACACCAACCTGCAATACTATTAGCCCTATTTTGAGAGATGAGGGCACAGTGTTCCAGAGAGAGGAAGGGGTTTTCCTGGGGTCCCCTAATGGTAAGTGGTAGGATGTCTCTAGAACATGGGCTTGTTCCACTGGTTCAGCCTTAGGGAAGAAGGGCCAGTGAAATGAACACTCACATTACAGGCTCAGTCCAGGTTCTATATCCCCCCATTCACTAGGGGGGAACCCAGCCCCAGCCCATGGCCTCTGGTCCTCCTAGCTCTGGACATTTGGGGCTGGAGCCTCAGAACCATGGTGCAGGGGGGTTATCAAACCACACCAAGGTGGAGCTGGCCTGCATCTTGAGAGGATCACACGCTGGAGCTGCGGGTGAGGACATGGAAACTCGGGCGCCTCCCACTAAGTTCTTCCCTTTCATTTTCTTTTGGTTCCTAACATTTTGTTGTGGAAAATTTCAAACCCACGAAAAGCTGAAAGAATAGCAGAGAACATCCGTACACCTGCCTTGCCACGTCTACCAATGACATTCTGCTTCACCTGTCACCCTCCTTCTGCCCGCCCACCCATCCCATCTGTCCACCTTCTTATTTGATTTCGTTTTGATGCCTGTCAGAGTAATTTGCAGAGATCGGGCACTTCACCCGTACAGAGTTCAGGCTGTGGATTCCTTTTCTTTCTAAGCTTTGACTCAAAAGTAATTAATGAAGACATTCTCTTTGTAAAGGAAGGGAAACATTACAGGAACGTGAACTTGCCTTCCACCACCCCTGCCTTAGCCTGATCCTGTGTCTAGGGATGACCACAGCCACCTGCAGCACACACTGTATCTCTACATACCTTTTTCTGAGCTTTGAAGTATCTACAGGTAGCCATGGAAAGTAAGCACGCTTCTATGTTGCATGCTTCTTCTTTTTTTTTTTTTTAAACAAAAGTTGTGCTTTCCTGGACATGTCGCCCTACAGTTTGCTTTTCCACTCAACACCTTCTCGTGTCAGCATGAGATTCTACCTTACCCCTTTCTGCAGGCTGCAGAGTCACCCACAGTAAGAATACATCGCAGGTTTATCTACCCATGCCCCCAGCTAATGGACATTGAGGTCGTTTATACCTGGTGTCATTTCTTTTTTAGCTTTTGTCCCGGTTTCTTTGTCTGTTTCCGTAAGCGCTCTGTGTTAAAGATCACTTAGAGTAGATAACCCCCGGGGGTGGTCTCTGCAGTGTTGGGAGCAGCGGTGAGTTACTGCAGCCTGGATGCCCGGGGCCGCTCGGGGGAGGTAGGCACGGGCCCTGCTGGGGACTCACCACACACGATGCTCTGATTGACACACTGCCAGGAGTAGCGCTCCATCTTGGGTCTGCAGCCAGCCTGCTCAGCCTGCGTGTAGCAGCAGTCGTGCTGGTGACAGCACCTGGGGATGGCAGACAGGCAGACCAGCAGGTGGGTGGAGGCAGGGATGCTCTCCCGGCCAGGACTATGGCTAAGTGAGGACACGCAGGGAGCCAGCATCTTCTGGTCCAAGCTGTGTCCCCGAGAATCCCCACCGTGGGAAATAATTTTGCAGACCCCAGTGTGTGGGGTGTGCCCTGGCTCCGTCCCTTGGCCCCTGCCTGCCTCATTCTGTGTCTCTGAGCCTCCTCTCTGTGCCGGGTGTGAGCCGAGCCCCGCCTGCCTCCTGACTTTGCGTGGGACCTGCCCTCTGCCTGGGACGGCTACCTGCCCATCCTTCCTCCCTCCAGGTCTCAGCCTAAGAACAGCTCCCATTCCAAGATGTCATCCAGCTCCAGACCTCCCCAGTCAATGACGGTCTCCTGGTTACACCGTCTCATACAACTGGGTTCCTTCCCTTCAGGGCAGGTTTATAGCGAGACTCTCATTTTAGGGAGGAGACTGATGAGCATCTGTCCTCTGCACTGGCCAGAGCTCTGTCGGGACAGGACCATTTCTGTCCTGCTCTCCACAGTGTCCCCAGTGTCCAGTCCGGGGTCTGCTGCATAATAGGACCTCAATAATAATAATAATAATAATGATAATTTGGTGTTGAGCAATTCTGAGAAACATCCACAAATGTCCCCAAACCTGCCCATCATTCATTCATACCATTCACTGGTAGTGTCTCCATCCAGTTACTAGTCCCACCACGTACGGAGCCCATAATGGGATCTGGCAGGGAGAGGTCAGCCAGATGCCGCTCTGCCCTCAAGGAGCCCCCAGTCTGATGGGGGGAGGCAGACAAGCCGCCAGATACCACATGCATGGTGAGAAGTGCTGGAACGTGGGATGAGTGGGGGGGACTCCGGGAGCCCAGAGGGGTCAATGCCTGAGCTGCATCTGGGAGGATGTGTAGGAAGCAGACAACCATGCCCGGGAGCCTTGGAAGCATGAGACTGAGCAAAGATCTGTCTGGGACAGTCAAATCCTCCAAGCCAGGGAAGAGACCTTCACATGGTGCCCTCTGCCACCTCCTACTGGCTGTGTGGAAATGGGTGAGTGGCCGTGCCTCCCTGAGCCTCAGGGGACAGCCGTCCTGCCCGCCTCAGAGGATAAACGAAAGGAAGTCGCTGATAGATCTAAATAAACCCTCAGCCTTGCACAGAACGGGCATTTCTCACATGGTAGCAGAGCCCAGCGAGTAGGGGCATAAATCCAGCCCAGCTGCCTGGGTTCGGATCCCAGCCCCCAGCCCCCACCCCTCACTGTCTCTGTGGTCCCAGACAAATTCATCTCTCCTGCCTCAGTGTCCTCATCTCTGTAATGGGGTTGTTGTGAGGACTGAGAGGGCTTCTCAGAATGGTTCCTGGTGCATAATAAGTCTGATCAAGCCTATGTTCTTTTATCAGCCCAAGTAATTCATCGCATGGCGAGGCTGGGGGAGGGGGGCAGCTGTGACACCCGAGGTGTGTCCTCAGTGGCCCCGTCACCCAGGAGGCCCTCTGCCTGCCAGATTGTACTGCGTGCTAGGATCTTGCTAGTCCAAACAGAAACCTCGGTTGTGGGTATTTCCTTATAGAGGCCTTAACTACCCCAGGGGGTGGGGGACCTTCTGAGCCCAGGCCCAAGCATGCACTCACCAGTCGATGGCGTCGCGGGGCTGGCCATGGCCCCCCAGGCCACAATAGCAGCCATAGCTTATGTAGGACAGGGGGCTGCGGCTGCCAACACAGTTCATGGTCCCTGCCAGTTCTAGAAGCCCACGCCGGTGCACGTGTGACCTCTGGGAAGCTAGAGGGAAACAAAGGTCAGAGGTTGCAGGGCAGAGCTTGGGGAAGGGCACTAGCGTGGGAAGGGCTTGGATGACTGTTTGGGTTTGAATCCCACTCTTCCTACTTCCTCACTGTGTGACCTTGGACAACTTACTCAACCTCTCTGTGCCTTGGTTTCCTTGTTTATAAAATAGGGAGGATGAAATGGCATCACGCATGTAAAGCCCCTGGCACATGCCAAGCTCTATTATTCATGTCTTCAAGGCAGCCCTGAAAGAGAAAACAAGTCACGGAGCCACAGCATCCCAAAGGTCGCACCACTGCACCTTTTGCACAGGCTGGCCCCTCTTCCTGGAATGTCCTGATTTCCAATCTCCTGCCCTCATCTACTCCAGATGAAGGCAGACTGCTAGTCCTGCATCAAATGTCTGTCCAGTTGCCTGTGCTGGGCACTGGGTGACAGAGATGAGCTAAACAGGGTCCATGCCACCAGGCTCCCCTGCAGGGGCTTTCCTGTCCATGGGTCTCCCCTGCCCCCCACCATGCCCCTCCAGACTCTGGCTTGGGGCCTTTTGCGTCTTCTCTTATTTTCACTGCCCAGGCACGGCTTCCTCCCACACAGGGAGGCCCTGAGGCCTGAGCCCAGCCACCTGTCTGTATCCCTGTGCATCTCTGACATACAGCAATGCACAGGAGGGGTGACTGGACCCCCCCACATTTCACAGGTGAGGAAGAGGAGGCCGGAGCACCAAGGACGACCCCACAGTCACACAGGCAACAAGAACCTGATCTTCTCGGGGGGCTCCGACCCAGACTTCTGACCTCCAAACCAGTGCGCCTTCCTCTTCACCCAATAAGGGCAAGGGAAGGGGGCCTGCCAAGGTGACAGAGCTGAGAGGCACCAATGGGGCCACTGCTTGGGGTCAGGGCCCTCCAAACCCACTGTGACCGGGACATCCAATAATCCTTCTGGTGAAGGTAACAAAGGAGTCCATTCTCTGGCATTGGTCCAAAAAACCAAACAGAGCAACAGTAAGGAGTGAGATCACTTGAACTTCACCCCGTACCAAGCACCGTGCTCCCCAATTGACAGGCATCTCCTATTGTCAACAGCATAGCCTCCCTGTCTTGTGGGCAGCTGTTATCCCATTTATGGCTGGGAAGACTGAGGCTTAAAGATGCACAGGGCTGCCGTGGCCCGGAGCAGACACTCACACGGGAGCCTGTCTGATTCCTGGGTGTCCACTCTCCACCGCTTGGGGACGGAGGAGCCAGGTCAGGTCTGTGCATTGCATCTGCCCATAAGGTCTCATCGCTTTTCATCTAAAACAAATTTTCAGGGTGCCTGGGTAGCTCCGTCAGTGAAGCGTCTGCCTTTGGCTCAGGTCATGATTCCAGGGTCCCGGGATCGAGCCCCGCATCAGGCTCCCTGCACTGCAGGGAACCTGCTTCTCCCTCTCCCTCTGCCTGCCGCTCCCCCTGCTTGTGTGTGCTCTCTCTCTCTGTCAAATAAATAAATAAAATCCTTAAAAAATTTTTTTTTAAAACAAGTGTTCATCACCCTGACTTTTTTGAAGAGTCCAGGCCAAAATTAAACCGATTGTTGTTTTTTCTTGGTGGAAAAAGTACCATATTTGTGGGGGTGGGGGAATAGAGATGAGTTAAATAGAAAGAAAACATAGAAACCAGTTAAAGGTTTCGTCTTCCTCTCTGGGTGACCAGTCCTCGCTCTCCCACAACTGGCCAGGTGCGGCTCCCAGCTGCCCACGCGTCTGCCCGAAACATCCCGTGGCTCCCACCACTGTCCAGATAAAGCTCAGAGGCCTCACTGCAGCCCAGAGGCCTTGCACGAAGGGGCCCCTCTCTCAACACCCCCATGTCCTCTCTCAACGCCCCCATGCAGTCCCTGCTCATCATTAACGTCTCCTCCAGCTGAATTTCCCATCCCAGACACCCTGCAGGGCACACGCCCTCACCCCATGCTCACCTCTCACCTCCTTCTATAATCCGCCTTGCCCCCAGGTGACCATAGGGGTCTTTACCACGCTGTGCAGCTGTCTGCTTATGGGAGTGACCCTCTATTTAACTCTTTTAAAGATTTTATTTATTTATCTGACAGAGAGAGAGAGAGCACAAGCGGGGGGAGCGGCAGGAAGAGGGAGAAGGAGAAGCTGAAGGCAGATGCCTAACCGACTGAGCCACCCAGGTGCCCCTGGGAGTGACCTTCTCAACTGGGAGCTCTTTGAGGGCAGATTTCTGCTGTAGACAACTCCAGATCCCCTGGCACACAGTAAGCTTCCGGAAAAGGTCCCTTGACCTCCGGACCTACCAAGCCCCATGGAACACTCCCTGTGTAAGCATACCTGAAATGGCCCCAGTCCTAACTCCATGCCCCAAAGCTGTCCCCAGAGGTCCCCACCCCGACCTGACCACACTCTGGCAATCTCAGGGTCCTGGGCACAGCCCTCCAGAGAACCAAGGCACGGGGCAGCCGCCCAGCACTGAGTTTGGAACCAAGGAAAACACTCCCTCCGCGTCAACTTAGGTGAGGCAGGTCATTCTGGGGTCTGTTTGCTCTGTCTGCCCGCGACAGCCTCTACTTGGGAGTGCCAAAGCTGTCCCGGTGTCCCATGGGCCTGAGCATGTGTGTGTGTGTGTGTTCGGGCTGTCTGGTCTGCCTGAGCTTTATGTGTGCATATGTGTGTTCCCTCCGAGGTCCCTTTGCCCGTGTCCCAGTGTGAACCTGTCCGTGAACCCTACACCTGAGTGCCCAGGTGAGGCTGAAGGTGTTCTGTGCCTGCATGTCTCCCTGCTTGTGGTGTGTCCCTATATTTCCCTGCGAGTGGGTGTGTCTGTACACCCCAGAAATAGTCGGGTGCTGAGGAGACCTCTCTAAGGGTGATGGCCAGGGGCAGGTGAGAAAGCCACCTTCTGTTCTTCATCTACCCCTCCCAGGTGTCCCCCCCCCCCCGTAGCCCTACCTTAGACCTCAGGGACAGGTGACTGGAGGGTGTCTGGGGGGGGCGGTAGGGCTGGGGGACAGGGTTCCTGGAAACCTGGTAAGGAATGCATCAGAGGGGCGGTAAAGGATTGCTGGGGGCTCCCGGTGCCCTGGGAGCGGGGAGGAGAGGCTGATGAGTTGGAGGGGTTGCAGAGGGACGGGAAGGCAGGGCTCCCCGTTCCTCCGGGGGGCCCCCTCCTCACTCACTCACCGGCGCTGGGCCCGAGTCCGGGTCCCAACAGCAACAGGAGCAGAAGGAGACGCGGCGGCCGCAGCATTGCGGGCGGGCTCAGAGGCAGCGGACCCATCCGACGGCTGCAGGTGCCGGCTGCTCCGGCCGCGGTGTAGTCTCGGAGCCCCGCACCCCCTCCCCGCCGCCCGGCCCCGCCCGGCCCCGCCCCCGGCCCCGCGGGCAGGCGGGGCTGGCACTCCCGGACCTCCGCCGCGGGCTCCCCCGAATGGGCAGGGGGCGCGCCGGGCCGGAGGGAGAATCTGGCTCCAGATGTGTCGGACTGGGACTTGGGGAGAACGACGGAAGGAGAGCGCGGGTGGGTCCAGGAGTAGGCGTGCAACAAAGGTGCTCGGTTGCTGGTACCACCTGCAGCCCCCTCCCGGCGCTCACCTCGACGTCCGAAAGGAAGACAAGACTTGGGGGGTCGGGGGGAAGGGGGAGGAACTGAACTGATCTTGAACATTTTGGTTTAGTTTGTTGGGGTTTTTTTTTTTTTAAGATTTTATTTTATTGGGCGCCTGGGTGGCTCAGTTGGTTAAGCGACTGCCTTCGGCTCAGGTCACGATCCTGGAGTTCTGGGATCGAGTCCCGCATCGGGCTCCTTGCTCAGCGGGGAGTCTGCTTCTCCCTCTGACCCTCTCCCCTCTCATGTGCTCTCTCTCTCTCATTCTCGCTCTCTCAAATGAATAAATAAATAAAATCTTTAAAAAAAAAGATTTTATTTTATTAAGTCATTTCTATACCCAGCATGGGGCTGGAACCCACAACCCCAAAGTCAAGAGTCGCTCACTCTACCGACTGCGCCAGCCGGCCCCTTAAACATTCTAAATGCAGGAAACTTGGCGCTCCTGATACCCCTCGAAATCAACCCTCTGCGGCCACCCCACCCTCACCACCACACCACCATATTAGGGAAACTGAGGCGGTCCAAGATTGCCCCAAGACAGAGCTGGCATGGTGAGGGATGAGGGGGTGAGGCTGCAGAGGGGTCGGAGCAAAGCCCACACCCCATCCCCTTCCTGCCTGGGGCATCTCATCTGCATCTGCTCCAGGGCTGTAACGCTGTGAGGGTCAAAGTGAGGCAGGGAGGTACAATTCCGCAGGAGCTCAGTACTGCAAAGAGATGTTTATTCTCCTTGGTCCCTGGCACTAGCCCTATCCGGCTAGTCAGCAATTTCTGTTGATTTTGAGTCATAACTACTTCTGAGAGTGGAGCCCCAGATCCCTCCCCATCTCCACAGCTAAGCCCTAGTAGAGATAATAGTAACAATAACAAAGGCGATGTCATGGCTTACCAGCTATAGTGTGCTAAGGGCACCAGACCCGTGATCTTATCACAACCTCAGATCCCCTGATGTCCCCCTGTCACAGGAATTAATGCAGGATCAGAGAAGCTAAGAACCAAGAATTAGGAGAGGCCAGATTCAAATGCTTTTGACATGATGGTCAATCTCCATCTGCCTCCTTCTATGAAAACCTGAGGCGTCGGGCCATCCAGCTGCCCCACACTGAGTTCACTGTCCCCCCACAGGAGCGAGCTCCTCCAGGCAACGCCTGGGTCTGTCCTCTTGTACGCCCAGCATGGACCTGCCTGACACGGAATAGGTGTTTAATTAAGGCTTGCCCATTCGGGGAGTATGGGTTTCCGACTCTCCCAAACATAGGGTAGAAATAGACCTTCCTTCCAAGGCTCTCCCATGAGAGACAGGGGATAAAATAACCCATATAAACCCAGGAGAAGTGCTTTTGCCTTCAAGGACTTTCCCAGTCAATATGCACACAGGAAAACCCAACTTGTCATGAAAGGTCCATCATAAGTAACAAGTCAGGAAAATCTGTACTCAATATCAGAACTTTTTGTACCCAAACTCTACCACTATAACTGGTTAGCCTCCATCATCTGCAAGGATCCTTTGCACAGAATAATTTGCTCCCAATATGGTAGATGACTGAGGCATTGGGACCATCATCAAAGATACTAATGTCAGGGCGCCTGGGTGGCTCAGTCGGGTAAGCCTCTGACTCTTGCTATCAGCTCAGGTCATGATCTCAGGGTCCTGAGATTGAGCCCTTAGTCTGGGTCTGTGCTGGACCCTGCTTAAGATTCTCTTTCTCTCTCCCTCTGCCCCTCTCCCACTACTCATGCTCTATCTCCCTCAAAAAAAAAAAGAGAGAGAGAGAGAGAGAGAGATACTAATGTCATACTCACCTCAATTAACATATTAAAAATAACCAAAATTATAAATCCTTTGCAAAGGTGCCTCAGTTGAATGTGCTGAGAGATGAGGGGATATAACAGAATGGAATGGAGTCAGAAATCGGTTCATTTCCAAAGGGGGAATTATGCATACCAAGGAACTGTGCCCTAGTGCTGGTCTCAATCTAACCCCGTCCTTGGGTTCATCCTGGTCTATTGACAAAGGCTTGCTACAAATGTTTGGTAAGTAAAGATTTCTTCTTCTGTGTGACAGAAGCGGGTATCTTCTATGACTAGATGGTAAAGTAACTACACATATAGAGGAGCATCTGAAGTTGGGTGCTTTCTCCAGCTCATGAGACCCCCAAAAACAGAACAGTGAATCCTCAGATCCAGCACACTCTCTGATCTAGCTATTCCTAGGGAATAGCTCTAAGAAAATAAAATGCTCAGGCAAGATTTATAGACAACGCGGATCACTAACAAAGAGCAAAAACCTAGAAACAACCTAAATTTCCAATAATAAAATGGTAGTTTGGGGTGCCTGGCTGACTCAATCCGTAGAACATGCTACTCTTGATCTCAGGGTCGTGAGTTCAAGCCCACGTTCTGCTTAAAGCTCAGTTTAAAAAAATTTTTTTTTTAATTAAAATTGTAGTAACAGGGGCGCCTGGGTGGCTCAGTCGTTAAGCGTCTGCCTTCGGCTCAGGTCATGGTCCCAGGGTCCTGGGATTGAGCCCCACATCGGGCTCCTTGCTCAACGCAAGCCTGCTTCTCCCTCTTCCACTCCCCCTGCTTGTGTTCCTGCTCTCTCTGTGTCTGTCAAATAAATAAATAAAATCTTTTAAAAAATTTAAAAAAAATAAAAATACTTTTAAAAGCAGAGAGCTGCAGTATAATCCTACCTTTATAATTAGACTGCACAACTGAGCAAGAGCCGGGTATAAGCATGTCTTTACGCACATACCCAATACACATACATACGTGGGGCTCTCTGGAGGGAGAAGGAAAAAGAGGAAGGATGAATGAAAAGTATCAAAATGCAATACTGATTATCTTTTTAATTTTAATGCCAGTGTAATTAACATACAGTGTCATATTAGTTTCAGGTATGCAATATAGTGATTCAGTAATTCTCTATATTATTCTGTGCTCATGATAAGTGTGCTCTTAATCCCCATCACCTGTTTCACCCATTCCCCCACCCACCTCCCCTCTGGTAACCATCAGTGTGTTCTCTATAAGAGTCTGCTTTTTTGTTTGTCCGTTTTTTTCCTTTGTGTGTTTGTTTTGTTTCTTAAATTCCCCATAGGAGTAAGGTCATATGGTATTTGTCCTTTCGGACCAACTTATTTCACTTAGCATTATACCCTCTAGCTTCATCCATGTTGTTGCACATGGCAAGATTTGATTCTTTTCTATGGCTGAGTAATACTCCATTGTCTATAGGTACCACATCTTCTTTATCCATTCATCTATGGATAGACACTTGTGTTGCTTCCCTATCTTGGCTATGGTAAATCATGCTGCAATAAACACAGCGGTGCAAATATCTTTTCAAATTGGTGTTTTCATATTCTTTGGGTAAATACCCAGTAGTGTGATTACTAGATCATAGGGTAGTTCTATTTTTTATTTTTTGAGGAAACTCCATATTATCTGTCTTCCACAGTGGCTGCACCAGTTTGCATTCCCACCAAGGGTTCCACGAGGGTTCCTTTTTCTCCACATCCTCACCAACTCTTGTCATTTCTTGTGTTTTTGATTCTGATTATTTTCATAGGGTGGAAATGATTGAGTCTTATTTTTGTCTCTTTATTTTCCAAATTTCTTTTTTTTTTAAGATTTTATTTATTTACTCATGAGAGCCAGAGAGAGAGAGAGAGAGAGAGAAGCAGACTCCCCGTTGAGCAGGGAACCCGATGCAGGAATCGATCCCAGGACCCTGGGATCATGACCTGAGCCAAAGGCAGACGCTTAACGATTGAGCCACCCAGGCGCCCTATTTTCCAAATTTCTAGGAGAACCCAAACTTTTGTGATTCAGAGGGGAAAAAATTAAAACAAAGCCATAGACTTTAACTCAATAAAGCTTGTCTCTTGAAAAGCTGCCTTGGTATTATTCTAAAAGCACAAAGACACAGGCATGAAAATAAAGATATTCATCAGTTTGGGGTTTCTATTTTGTGGTTTTTTAAAAAGCTTTGTATTCCCGTGGTTACAAGGGGCTGAGGTAGGAAGAAGGAAGTTGTTGTTTAATGAATATAGAGACATATGCACTTACCTTTTGACTCAGCGATCCAATTCTAAGAATCTACTGGCAAAAATATGAAATGGCACATGCTCAAGGCTATTGATAGCAACAGTTTTATAACAACAAAGTAATGGAAACAACACAAATATCTATCAAGAGGGGAACGATACAGGGGGCGCCTGGGTGGCTTAGTCGTTGGGCGTCTGCCTTCGGCTCGGATCGTGATCCTAGGGTCCTGGGATCGAGCCCATTGTCGGGCTCCCTGCTCCGGGGGAAGCCTGCTTCTCCCTCTCCTGCTCCCCCTGCTTGTGTTCCCTCTCTCGCTGTGTCTCTGTCAAATAAATAAATAAAATCTTTAAAAAAAAAAGAGGGGAACAATACAGCCTCACAATCTTAATAAATTTTAATCAAGAACAGTAAAGTTTTCTCTAAAAAAAATATTTTATTTATGTATTTGACACAGAGAGAGGGAACACAAGCAGGGGGAGTGGGAGAGGGAGAAGCAGGCTTCCCGCGGAGCAGGGAGCCCGATGCAGGGCTCGATCCCAGGACCCTGAGATTGTGACCTGAGCCGAAGGCAAACGTTTAACCAACTGAGCCACCCAGGCGTCCTGAGGACGGTAAAG